CCGATTTTAGTTCTAGGAGATTAATGCCCAAACACCGCTGCCTGCGTTCATGCGAACAAGAAGGCTGCCACCTCGTGGTTGTCTATATGAATTGCGGCCACCCAGACGAACCATTAGAACACTGCGGTGAGAAACGTTCCAAGTTGTTAATAGGTGTTAACAAGCTTCAGGGTGGTCTCCGGTTCATGCGGTTGTTCGGTAATTCGAAGTGCCGCTTCGAATTGCTTCGGGGATTCAAAGTGCTGCTTCATAAGTCCAAAAAGGCACAAACAGTGATTTAAACCCAGTTTTATCACAGGGGCCATAGTCACAAGGAAGGAGGCTGGCAAGTATGCCCCTCCAAGAACCCGTGACAAGGTCCAGTTCATCACAGTCAGCAGCACAAAGTTCCTGGGTAGAGTGGAGCAGAAACAACGTAGAAAGGTTGGGATATATCATGACGTATGTCTGTCAGTGTAAGCATCACCAAAATGTCACCTAACAGCATCACCTAACAGCACCCCTTGGTGCATTTTCCCCCTTAAAAATTAACAAGAACATACATTACATGCACTGCACCTCTGCAGGCACAAAATTAAAAATATACTTTCTGGTTGTTTTCTTTGCCATGCAAGGAAACATTATATCCAATCTTCTGGATATAACATACCACTACTTAATATAGGACGAAAAGCCAGGCTGGTTTGTAACATGCCATTTGAAAAACAGGGCTCTCATGGCAGCTAAAACCCCATCCAAATGCTGTAACTGAGATAATAAAGAAGTGAGCATTAGCTGCCCAGTGGATGACAGCGATAGGCAAAGAGTGCTGGTCGAAACCAATTCCGAGCATTGTCATCCTAACATTGTCAGCAAAAGTAGATTAGCTGAGTCGTGATAGAGGAATCAGGTTGTAGACACACCAGGAGAGTTTTTGAAAAACTACATCAAAGTAATTTGATACAAACTAGTGAGACAGTGCCCACAGACTGAATTTTTAAACAGTTTTTTGTAGGTAGGTAGTTAAATGTTTTTACCATTTTTTGGTCTATGAACACTGTCAGCTGCCAGGAATGACTGCTTTCAAAAACTTCAAGAAAACCTCAAAACCCTAAAAATATCTTGTATCTGTTGGATGTATTCCTGTGTGCGTCTACCATGTGACCCTCGTCTTTTCTTAGCACAGTGTATTATAAACCATTTGTGACGGATATGATGCTCGTGGGAACTAACATGTTGCCAGGATTTTGATCCCAAGTCATATTTTGCAAAATGAAATGTAATATCATCGTTAGTATATAAATCCATGGTAAAAGTGACAATTATGTCTATAGGGAAAAACATTCCTCTGTAGTTTGAAAAATAACATTGGCTAGTGATAGCGCACAAATAGCCATTGCTTGGATTAAATACGTAACGTAGTGTATTGATGTGTTTCACCATCTTCTGACATAAGAAGGGTTAATCGTAAGATCCCAGTTTGCCCCGAACAAGTGGCACAGTTCAGGTTAATAAATTGGTATATTTAAGAAAACTTTTTTTTTCATTCTAATGTAATAGTATATCTGGGCTTTTGAGCTTGCCAGAATTCTAACAGTGCCTCTTTACAGTGCCTGAGAAAATATATTTTGGATGGCTTTCTTACCTACTACGGGTCAGGAACTATGTTCCCTACTTGCTCTGTTCCATAATTTCTTTGGCCATATGGGAATTGTGTTCCCAATCCATTAGCGTACATTACCTAGAAGACTCTAGGGATGTGCATGGGTGACAAATTTGTTTGTAAATTTTACAAACTTTTTGTCAATTTTCTAATTTTAGTTCATCCCAAATTCTAAATGACCAATTCGGAACAAAATGTAATTCAGAAAAAAATTTCTGTTTGCTTCAAAAGTTTGGATGCCTATTATTCTCTACGGGAGTGCTGTTTAGCAGATAGCTCCCTAATTTGGTATCTTTAACCCCTTAACGACCATACCTCTGGAATAAAAGGGAATCATGACATGTCACACATGTCATGTGTCCTTAAGGGGTTGAGCATGGTAATACCACATAAGGGTACCAAATTAAAAAAACTGTTGTGTTTAGTAGATAACTCCTTAATTTGGTATCCTTGAAAATGGCAATCAAATATTAAGGTACCAAATTAGGGATCTATCTACTAAACAGCTGAAATAGAAAAAGTAAGAAAATAGTTTTTTTGAAATTTGATCTTCCAGCTGTTTAGAAAATAGCTCCCTAATTTGCTACCCTTCATAGATCAGATACTCTATATATACATACTGTATATTTGCTACATACACTATATACATGCAGCATTTACATTCTATATACATGCAACATATACATTCTGGGTAGACAAAGGGGCTCCATAGACTCACCAACTCTCCAGGGTTATAAGGGAGTGTTTCCTTAAATAAATGAGAATAGAATTTGAGTGTACAATGTTGCTACTGAGCAGGCTCTTTAGCCAAAATTTAAATCAACCGGATTTACGCTAACATCGGAGTTTGCAGAAACCAGTCTCCCTAGCTAAATGGAAACAACGTCATCTTCGTGCTTTTTCTGTAAACAGATACTTTTCATCAATGTGAGAAACACTATTAAGTTTGGACCTTAATAGATTTTTCCAGATCTGTCATCGTGAGATCGTAGTGCAATTGGATTGTTTTTTGGACTCTGAACTCTGTTCTGCAAAGACCTGTTTTTCTCATAAAACCGGATACTTGAAGAGTTAGGTAGGTCACCAGAACGTGAATAAAGAAACATTATTTATTAAATAAATAAATATACTGAAGAAATGCCAACTTCCTCAGCCCTATCAAAGGTTTTGGGTTTCTGGATGAATTTTAAACATTTAACATGAATTAAAGAGGAACTATAACTTTCTCATACTGAATGTTCTTCTTATAGAAATGTAACAACAGTCTACATTAAAATGATAACAAGAATTTATTTATTTATGCAGAGCAACAATTAGAAAATCTGTGGAGCACTCAGCAATAATGTGCAGACTGTGATACAGGACTTCCATAACATAACCGGAACAGGTACTGGAGGAATGCTGTGTAGTGATGTCCCGAATGGTTCGCCGAACGGTTCGCCACGAAAGTTTCGCCATGGACGGTTCGCCGCGGACTCATCATTGAGTAAACTTTGACCCTGTACCTCACAGTCAGCAGACACATTCCAGCCAATCAGCAGCAGACCCTCCCTCCTAGACCCTCCCACCTCCTGGACAGCTCACTAAGAATGCAGCTTCAAAATGGATGCTAGTTACACTCATTTTATTATTAATACTAGCTGCATCTTTTAGCACACAGTCTCTAGCCGTACCTGATACTTCCTTCTTCCTAAACACCCTGTATCATCACCGGGGAGGGCCCTCAGAGGGAATCCGCTTGTTAAGCATCTTACTGCTGTCTCATTATTAACCTAAAAATGTGCAGTTATTCAGGCTAGCTTGATCCATCCTGTCATGGCTCATTCCTTTATAGAACAAATGCCTTGTCTAATGCTGTTTTGTCTGCTGAATGCACAAATTTTTTTTAAAAATCCCATTTTAGTTTAAGTCCTATTTTAGTCATCTAAATAGTTTTAGTCGACTAAAATTGTTAGTTGACAAAATTAAAGGACCACTATAGGCACCCAGACCACTTCAGCTTAATGAAGTGGTCTGGGTGCCTGGTCCAGCTAGGTTAAACCCTTTGTTTTATAAATATAGTAGTTTCAGAGAAACAGAGAAATATGGTTAATCCAGCCTCTCAAACAAACTTGTTTTCCTGGCACTATAGGGTCTTTAGGTCCGTCCCCCGCCCACCCACTCCCGCTGGGCTCTAGGGGGCTGAAGGGGTTAAACACTTACCTTTCTCCAGCCCTGGGCTCCCTCTGCGCTGGGGACTCTCCTCCCTCTTCCAACGTCATCCGCCAAATGCACATGCGCGGCAAGAGCCGCGCGCGCATTCAATCAGTCCGTAGGAAAGCATTTCTCAATGCTTTCATATGGACGTCAGCACCTTCTCACTGTGACTTTTGTTTTATATTATTTTTTTTTTATTACCGAATGTTTTTCATGATATAGATACTGTGACTATGTTTATGTCACTTCCGCTTGGATATTTCTGACCTTTCTATCGTCTACATACTGGATACCAGAATGCTGGTGGTGGTCACTCCCTGACCTATTGTATGCCCATATGTTACACACTTGGGAGACCACAGAATTAACAACATACAGATGGAGCCATTTTTTTTTCTATTTGAAAAGTTTTAATTGTTTTTTTCAAGATAAAACAACATGGGAGGGGATACAGAAGAAAGAAAGGGGGCGGGGGGATAGGAGTACTCACAATTATGCAATAAGTATCCATAATGACAGGTGACTCAAAATGGTACAGTTCTTATATAAAGGTACAGTAATACACCACTGGTTATGTTGGTTAACCGCAACTGAGTTGTGTTGCTCTCCCTGGTGTGTCAAACATACCCCACATTTATTCAGTGTTCCTACAGACAGGTCTGTCGGTACATATAGAACAGGAATCTGTATGCCTGTCCTCTGTATTAAACACAACAGACATAGTTAGGACAACACCGTACTTTAGTGAGAAAATGCTGGCAGGTTTTAATACATTATCTTGTTAACAGATCCTAGGGGTCCAGATCTAGATTTAGATGAAGTTGTTTTGGTCCGTGGAGTGTCCCTTTAATGAAGCATACTCACCCTTGAAAAAGGCTTTAGACCCGAAACGGGTGTTGGTTAAGTTATCCTTGTCACTTTCATAAGGTAACATTATAGGGAGATGTATAGGCAGATCCTATTTTGGAGTATAATTATTACAAGGATGAGATATGTATATTGATATTTAAGCACATTACTTATTGTACTATGGTTTGTAAAGATTGGATTAAGTGAAGATATACCTTTTATGAAAACGTGGTGTGCAGTGGGACTTTTCATGACAACCTGTTATATACATTTTGAAGTGACTACATTTATTAGTATTCTGAAAGCAGGCTGTGTTTCTATGTACATTTTATGCACCTTGTTGATCTTTATTATAGCAACGTATGGCTTTCTAGCAGGCCTGCTCTGTACTGTATATAAATATAATGTGGGAAAAGCTATCTAATGTGGAGTCAGTAACGCTAAATATTTGTAAGGCTCTGTAGCCAGGATATAATGGACCATAACAGACTTGGATAACATCAGAAAATTTAAAATAATACAAGTTCAGTAACTCCTTCTATTGTATATCTGTACATTCAGAGGAAAAGTTATTAAAATGAAATTATTTAATGAAATGTAATTGATTAGTGAGAGGATAAATAATGCCATTGTTGGAAACATGAAGAGCTCTATAGCTGGAACTTGGTATTAGAGGGGTTAAAAGATGTTAAATGGATTCTATAGTGTATGGAATACAAAGTTGTATCCCTTACACTATAGTGCCCTCTGGCCACACTCCTCTCCCACAGCGATGGGTCGGTGCTCAACCTCCCATAATGGGGGCAAATACACATTTGCAGCAAGCATCGCAAGCGCATTAGGCCCTCCCTATAGGAAAGCATTGCTTCAATACTTTCCTACAGGGATTTGACTGACTCTGGGTGTCCTCATGCAGAGAGTGAGGACATCCAGCGTCAGTTAGGCAACCAATAGTCGCCTACCCACCATAAAGTGGCTCTGGTGGCTGTCTTAGTCCTGCAATGTAATTATTGCAGTTTCTCTAAAAGTAATGATTTACATTGCAGGACTAAGGGGGCAGTGACACAGTAGAGTCAATGAGCTGAAGTGGTTTGGGCGCCTAGAGAGTCACTTTATCTATTGGATTTAGGATGCTTAAAGTGAATCCTATTCTATTAGTTAATAAATTATATTTCTGTGTATATGAAAAGCAGGAAATTGCTCCTAAGTGAAGTTATCGAAATCAGTTTAGACCGGGTGTCCATCTGGAGTGCCGAGTGTTATGTTGTCCTATACTGATTTGCTTTTGGCTTCTATTCACATATACTCTCTGTTCATCCACATTTCATTCACACACTAACACTCACATATACCTCTGCATTCATGCACCTTATACATAAGCAACATTTACACGCTGAATACAGGGTAGAGTTCTATAGTATCATACACTAACATTACACTATTTAAGGAACTGGTCAGAGAATTTCAAATCGTTAGCCACATGTTTTCCAATTCATATGGCAAGGCCTAAAATAGAACTTTCCCAATTAAATTCCATAGGTGCCAAAAGTCCTGAATTTAATGGGACAGTAACCCATCATTTTGGGGTGCAGTCTCAGCAAATGTAGGTCCTGAAATCTGATATTAAAATTGCATTGAAGCATACTGATATTGCTTAAGATGAATTATGTTACTGTATATGGAAACACACACATGTTTTACAAATCAAAATACAATTAAATAAATGTTAGAGGTAACATTTCCTTAACTCATTGAGTCATGGGAAAAAGAAAGTCCACCCTCTTTGAATTTTATGGTTTTACATATCAACCCACAATAACAATCATCTGTACCTTAGCAGGTCTTAAAATTAGGTAAATATAACATCATATGAAATCTATTCACAAACCGGACTTTACATAGGACACGAGGCCATGCGTTTAGACTGGAAGAAAAAAGATTTTGTCTAAGGCAAAGGAAAGGTTTTTTTACTGTAAGAACAATCAGGATGTGGAATTCTCTGCCTGAAGAAGTGGTTTTATCAGAGTCCAGATGTTCAAACAGCTACTAGATGCATACTTGCAAAAACAGAATATTCAAGGATATAATCTTTCAATGTAGGGTAATAACTGCTTGATCCAAGGATAAATCTGACTGCCATTCTGGGGTCAAGAAGGAATTTTTTTCCTAGCTTGTTGCAAAATTGTTCCTACACACACACACACACAGAAACATACAATGCATCCCTACTCACACACAGACACACCGGAACACACAATGCATCCCTTATGCGCACACACACACACACACACTGCTTCTCTTACACACAAAGAAACAAAATGAATCTCTTACACACACACACACACTGCATTGTAAAAAAGAGGGGGACAAAATTCCTACACAATGATATCACGTCGTGCTGTTCATAGTTACATAGCTGAAAAGAGACTTGCAACAAACTGTTTTTTTTTTGCCTTCTTTTGGATCAACAGCAAAAAACAAATGTGAGGAAGGCTGAACTTGATGGACGCAAGTCTCTTTTCAGCTATGTAACTATGACCAGCACGACGTGATATTACACAGTGTCGTGATTTATTTAACAAAAATGGAGAAGCCATGTATGAAAAACTCAGTACACCTTATGATTAAATAGCTTGTAGAACCACCTTTAGCAGCAATAACTAATCATTTTCTGTATGACTGTATCAGTCTCTCACATCATTGTGTAGGAATTTTGGCCCCCTCTTTGTTACAATGCAGTGTGCGTGTGTGTGTGTGTGTAAGAGATTCATTTTGTTTCTTTGTGTGTAAGAGAAGCAGTGTGTGTGTGTGTGTGTGCGCATAAGGGATGCATTGTGTGTTCCGGTGTGTCTGTGTGTGAGTAGGGATGCATTATATGTTTCTGTGTGTGTGTGTGTAGGAACCAATTGTCAAGGACGGTGGTGGAGGGGGCAGGGCCGGCACGTCCGGGGGGGCGCCAGATTTCAGTGAGCACTTCCTGTCAGTCCGACGGCGTCCGGGTACAGGAAACAGAAGTTTCCGCTACGTTGAGTGACCGGCAGGAGGGAGCACTGTGCGCTTCCCTCCTGCCGGTCACTGAAATCTTGCGCACCTCGGACGCACCGGCCTTGCCCCCTCCACCACCGTGCTTGACAGTTGGTATGAGTTATTTGTGCTGATATCCTGTGTTTGGTTTTTGCCATACGTAGTGCTGTGCATTACGGCCAAACATCTCCAGTTTGGTCTCATCTGTCCAAAGGACATTGTTCCAGAAGTCTTGTGGTTTGTTCCCATGCAACTTTGCAAACCTAAACCTTGCTGCCATGTTCTTTTTAGAGAGAAGAGGCTTTCTCCTGACAATCATTGCAAACAAACCATACTTGTTCAGTCTTATTCTTTTAAAATATAACACATTGAGTCAAAAGGAAAACACAATATGCATAATTAGTTTCTTATGTTATTACAATCAAACTCAAGTGAAGTGGTGAAAATAAAGTCTATCCAAAAGGGAAATATAGTAAAAGAATCATAAAGCATTAAGTAAACCGCAAAACATATAGATATATTGTGATGGAATTTCGGTGAAATGTAAATTTAGCAGGCCGAGATTTACACGTGGCATATGTGTATGTTGTATCAGTTAGTTAGTTACACGTAGCTAAGATACTGTCATCAATGAACTGAGCATGTGCAGGAATGCAGGAACTGAAATCACACTCCTTTCTCCTTTGTTTCGGATGAGCCATGTGGTCTGCCCATATGAGGAAATCCAAATCCTGTCCACTGATTGGTTAAGGGTATGTGTGGGTGGAGCTATTAATGGGAGGAGTTATAGTTCTATAAAAAACATGTACTCCATGTGTTCGCCCCTCAGACCTGTTTTGGAACGTTAGTTCATCTGAGGCCTGATCGGTATGTTAATAAAGACCTCTTACTTCCTGAAAACCTGCATCCATCTCTCTGTGTCTGGCTTCTGCGAGTTTACTTGGTTACAATATAAACCATTATGCAAATAAATATCTGAAATTAAATTTACACCAGAAAACCAGTTAAGTAACACACCATAGACGTGCGCACGGGGTGTGCTGGGTGTGCCTGGGCACACCCTAATCAAGCGACAAAATTGAGGCTCCGTGCTGAACTGCTGCAGGGGGGGGAGCGCAAAAATCCGAATCCCCTGCCCTTGGCTCTGGCCCTGCCCTTGGCTGGGGACTGGGATTTTTCACATTACCTGCTGTCTCCCTGCAGCCAGCCAGAACAGAGCAGCCAGGAAAGTCGGTCGGGCCCTGCTGGTGATGACTTCCACTGCTCTTCTACAGACTCCAGTCCCCAGCAATTCACAATCTGCAATCCGCTGGGGAGTCTGGGAGAAGAGCAGTGGAAGTCACGGCCCCTCCTCCTGACATCATCAGGAGAGGCTGGCCGACTTCCCTTGCTGATCTGTGCTGGCTGCAGGCTTCTGCTCCAGGCTCCTGTCCACCCCTTCCTGGCCTAAGGTAAGACTCAGAGGTGGGGGGATATTTTTTGTCAGCCCCTGCCCACCACCTCTATAGCCCCTATGTCCCACCTCAGCCCATGTTCCCCTTTCTATAGCCCCTGCCAGGGGCGGGCTGGGCCAGGGGGCAGGGAGGCAATTGCCCCCCAGGCCGCCCTAAATCATTTTGAAACCGGCCGCTGCAGGGCCGGTCCTAATGCTGCAGCCGCCTGAGCGCTCTGTAAAGAGCCTCAGGCGGCTGCAGTGCTGCTTCTCCCCCTGTAACGTGGCCGAGTTCCTCTTCGGTCTGCGGTGCCCGGCCAGAGTGATAGGAAGGTGCACACTGAGTGTGCACTTCCTGTCAGTCTGGCTGGTTACAGGAAGCAGAAACTCCTGTTCCGCGACGGAGTTTCTGTTTCCTGTAACCGGCTGGACTGACAGGAAGTGCA